CCCCATCGCTGCGCCGGGAGTGTCAGATGAACGGATGATCCGACACTCCCGGCGCAGAGACTGGGGCCCCGCTGGCCGCTGGATAACGATCCGGCAAATCCCACCATTTATGCACAGGGACTGTGCTGGGCCCCCCCAGGCTGAGGCCCCGGTGCCGGAGCACTGGCTGCACCGGCGGTAGTTCCGCCACTGCTTTAAAGCCCAACTCCAGGAAGATTAAAAGTCTTCCCTTTAATTGGGGTTGCCCCTGCACTGCAAAGGTTAACTTTTAATTTATGCCTAGGGGACAGCAAAAAGCTGTTTTACTTACCTGATCCCTGATCCCACCGGCTCCCTTTGGGCTGCTAACCGAGATGGTACATGGCCTTCCAAAGGTCTCCTCTTATCGGATTCCGAGACGTCTGGTCTGGGTTTCTGGAGAAGCATCCAATTGTTCCATTTTCTTGGTTCCCTGCCACCTGCTACGGACTTTGCTCACCCGCTCACCACTTTTGAGAAAGAATGCGTCCAATTGGGCCCTCTGCGTCACGCAGGCTCCTTTGCATACTCTCTACTACTTACACCTGCCACAGGGTTTGTTCCGGAATATATGCGGAAGTGGGAGCGGGATCTTGGTGTTGAATTTACTCAGGAACAGATCACCAAATTACTACATTTTAGATTTAAGTCCTCCCTATATACACGCTTTCAAGAGTCGGGGTTCAAGCTTCTTACCAGGTGGTATAGAACACCTCAGGTCCTACACGCAATGTTTCCGTCTGTCCCCAACTGCTGTTGGAGGTGTGGGACCTCACCAGGTGACTTACTACATATCTTCTGGTCCTGCCCCAAGGTTATTCCTTTTTGGTCTTCGGTAAAATCTATATTGAGCAACTTCACAGATAGAGAGATCCCGAGATCCCGTGGGATCCAGCCTTCTTTTTCCTCCACCATAACACCTTTCCCAGAAAGTTATTCAAAAGATCTATTGTCCCACACCTTCTAAATGCCACCAGATGCTGTATACCAGAGTTGTGGAAGTCCGAACGGTCTCCCACAGTGTCAATGTGGCTACACAGGGTGAGTGAGGTGGAACGCATGGAGGACCTGGTCTCATTTAGTAAGGGCTCCAACGACAGACACTGAAAGACATGGCTCTCATGGACAGTATATGTCCAGACCCCTGAATTCTCTGGGTTGTTACCTGACACCCAGGCTTGAGGCACTGGCTCATCTCCTGTCCCCAGAGTGCAGGGATGGATTCACCATTAGTTAGTGGACGAGATCTCTGTCCGTGATTTTGCTTTCTTTATCTTGTCAGTCTTCTCCCTTCCCTTTCCTAAGTTCTTATTTATTTCCCTTCTTACCGTTTCCCTATGGTGCAACACATATCTAAATGGGAACTTGAGCTAGCAATACTCTTCGGAGTCCACACCGGCTTTGATACTCACACAAATGTTTTTCTAATTGTTTAAGCTGTTTGGTTGCGACTGTTGATTTCTGTGTCCACGTATACATCCTTCTGCTGTAAGTTGATAACGCTAGAATCATCCATCCTTGGGGACACCCCTACGAGTGTCTAGTAACTCAGGTTGAAATAATGTTGATCTTTGGTGGCCAAGATACAACGGGTGTGACCTGGAGTTGGGAGGAACTTCTCTACCCTCAGGTACCCTCAGGTTCCCTCGATTCTATATATTTTTACATGTGATGTGATGTACCAATAGGCATGTTTATTGTCTCTAGTGCCTTTCTTTTTGTTTTTATACAATATATGTATTGTTATGAAAAAACCTTAAAAAAAGAATTTATTTTTTTTAAATGGGAGTAATCACATCTCCAGAATATTTGTATTTTTGGTGCAGTGATACAATATATCATAGAAAAGTTCTAATTATTTTCTGAATTTTAGGATGAACTTTAAAGTGTATAATACACGCTTTAGTAGAATCCTTATTTTGGTGCCAGTATCCTGGCGTTTTCTTGGCAAAGAGTCGGTATTTATCCGTTGGTGTTTTTTTCAGGGACCGTCTCAGAACCACCACAAACGTTCTTGGGGACTCGCTTGGTGCCGGCATAGTGGAACATCTGTCCAGACACGAGCTAAAGAACAAAGATACTGAGATGGGCAACTCAGTGATTGAAGAAAACGAGATGAAGAAACCTTACCAGCTCATCTCCCAGGAGAACGAAACAGAGAAACCTATAGACAGTGAGACCAAGATGTAGACAGCATGTGTCCTGATTAACTGGCCAGAATCACATTCCTCCCATTCTTTCCTATGCCTTCAAAATTCTGGTCTCGTGATGGTGGCAACACCGGGGAGCAATCAGAGATTCAACATCAGCAGGTGTCACGGTACCTGTGTCTGTACAATGTGAAACAATGTAACATTTTGCCATTGTGGCCCCGCCATCTCTGTGCTAAGAAAACAAACCTTGCATTGTTTGTACATCCCTTTTTTTTATTTTGTTTTTCTTGTTTTTATGAATTGGGAACCCAAGTAGCTGAGAGTCTTTTTGAATATTGGAAATTATGTTTTCCTTTATTATTCATAAAAAGCCTCTTCACTCCACAACACAAATACTATTTGAAATATTTTTTCACAGATTATTTTTTTTGGGGGGGGAGGGGGGGTTCTCCATTTTGATTTATTGTCCATAGTAGTCAGCTGTACAGCAGAATAACCTTTTTTTCTATAATACAGCACAGACAGTGCCAATACACATGCAAGTAATACATTTGATTTACTCATTTGATTTGATACTGGAATGCACGGTGCCAGTAAGTATATGCCGAACTAAATAGGAAGTGTAGCAGAAACTGTAGAAAATATATGGTTCCCCCCAATTTCCTGAAATATGGCTCAGCCCTTGACCAGCTGATGCCCTCTATCTGTTGAGGAAGCACCTGCAAGCCATGCTGGGGGATTGTATATTGTAGATAGTAAGTAGGCTTCAAGTTGCTTAGCCTTCTATGGAAATCTGTGTATACTATAAGGCATAAGTAAGGTCCTTATTTTTGGCCAACTTCATTCATACTGGGGGGCCATTGACTAATTAACAGGCAGATGACAAATCCAGATTTAAAGGAGCACTGACAGTAAAACAGAGAGAACTAAAGGAATAGAGACTGTTCATTTAACAAAGCTAATGGTCAATGTGCTTAGCAAACAAGGTAAAGCTGTGTTCATTTTGAATGCTCAGTCATTTGCAATGGAAATTTTATCCCAAAAAAATGGTTTTTCTTCTTGCATATGATTGTATGATTAATATTCATTAAGTCAAAAATACATCAAGGCAACTGGACTTGCTGTATTTTTCTTGAAGACGTTTCACTGGTCATCCAACCAGCTTTCTCAATTCAGAATGACTTGTACAAAAATGATCTGGGAATAAATATGGTGAATGTCGCTCCAATCCACATAATCTGTTAAACGCAACCAGGTGCTTGGATGACCAGTGAAACATCTTCAAGAAAAATACAGCAAGTCCAGTTGCTTTGACTTATTTTTTACAGATATACCATGACCTGGATGAATGAGAACCTTCACAGACATAGCTTCACAGACACATTAGGGCAGAATAGGGCCCTAGGCATTGTAGGTTCGGCCCCCTGTCCCTTTGATTGACTTTGTTAGGGATTGCAATAGGCCAGGGCTGGAAAACCCCAACCAGGTTGTCGTGTTGATGAAAAAAAAAGCTCCCAGGGGCCAGGTATTTGAGTATTTTACATGGTTTTATTGACTGCAGTTCCAACAACCGCTATTACATGGTGCCTAGTTGAAACAGGATTTCCTCATTGACTGCAGTTCCCAATCTAACAATACATCGGTGTTGCAGTCTACCGCGAACAAAACTACATATATTAAACTGTACAAAAAAAAAGACAGAAAAACAATAAAGTTGTGTCCTCAAGGAAGATTGTTTAGTTGTACACAATTGTTATAAATACCATGGCAATGTAAGTTAAAACTTCAAGATCCACTTTGTGTCCCATATCTCAGGAGACTCATCTATGTGTATTCTCATTGCCAACCTGGTGGCAACGCGCTTTTTGAAATTAAGCAAGGATTTCTATATATTGTTGTGTATTTTCATTATGTGATGTCCTAGTTCTGTTGTTAAGTGAGAATACATAAATACAAATGACCTGGGATATAGAACACAACGTGGTCTCGAGGTTTTCTACTCCATTTGCCATTTGCATTTTAAATAATTGTATACACATTAGCAATCTTTTCCTGGGAACATCGCTCTAGTTTTCTTTGTTGGCAATAGCAACCAGGATTTGTCTGGGTCTGTTTAGGTGATATATTTACACACACAATATACTTTCACGTTTATTTTATAATACTTCATGCTGGGCAGATGTCGTTCTCATGGCACTACCGCCACTAGCTGGCGCGGAGGAACATAGGAACGTCCTATGTAGCATCTTCTAGTGGCAGTAGTGCCATGCAAATGCATTGGGAAGAACATTTTTAAATCAGCGTCTTTGTGTATAAAGCACATTTCACAGTGCCGGGTAATTGGGTTAGATCACAAAACAAAATGAAGTAAGAAAGATAAGATAGGAGGGCCCTAGAAGAGTTTATAATCTAAAGGAATGCTGGAAGAGAAGTTGCTGGAAGAGAAAAAAATAGCACAGATGGTTATAGAAAGAAGTAGAGGAAGGCAAAGTCATGAACCAAAAGAAGGCTGAAGGTAATAGTACGGGCAATGATTTACTAAAGGAGTCGTTTTAATTCTGACCAGGCCAGGCCGGTGTTTGATTCATAATCTAGTCAGCCGTCCACACAATGTGATTGTACATTCTCTCTCCAATTCCTTCAGATTTCTCAACAACTATGTAATGCAAGGAGCTACCTAAACAATCTACCGAAACTGAATCTATCATCTATAAATTATACCCAGTAATTCAGCAAAATGTATACAGTCAGCCCCCGGATTGAGGAGACCGTCCGCAGACAAATGATGTCCGCAGGAATATAATATTTTAAAAAAATATATATATTTTATACTCACCTCATCCCTGGATCCACTGACGAGAGCAGCCTCCCGTCTCTCACGCTGTCAGAAGCTGCATACATCATGTGCCAGGTACTATTTAAACCGCCACACGCTGTATGCAGCTTCTGATAAGATACTCTATTAGCGTAGCGGGGAAGCCGGCTGCACATTTTGCATCGCTCCCGTGCTAATAGCGTGTGGAGTCTGCTGGGTCCCTCCCACAGCTTTGCTCTCTGCACAGGCTATGTACAGCACAGTGATGTCACTGCTACTTTTTAAAGGGCCCCATCTGAGTGGATATAAACCAAATGGAATGTTTTGGAAGAATCTTACAATTACTTATTACTATAGTAACATATCAAATTTAAGGCAAAATCTGGAGAATGTGTGGTCATCTGTAGGCAGATTTAAGAATAAATGATCCCTGCCTCTGGGTGGATGATTGAAGAGATCCTAGGCTCATTGTGAACAATAAATGAATCCTTTAGTAAATAAATCCCACAGGAAAAGAGAAGAGTATGTTATTTCCCTACTACCCCTGTACAATCCTATCTATACTGGCCGAATAAATTGAAGTGTTCTAAAGTAAAGCAAAGACCACTACCCAGGGTACGAAATTGTATTTTCTTTTATTTTTAGCCATTGTGGTAGTGATATGATGTGCATACCTAGAATGAGCAAACAACTAGATAGCAGATATCCAGCAACAGTACTGTATAATATATTAATTTAAAAGGGAATTCCACAAACATGCATTTTATACCTCTCAATGGAGCATATAGGTCACTACAGGGAATGGGTAGGGAAACTTCGGCCCTTCAGTTGTGGTGAAACTTCAAATTCCATTGTGCATCTGCCTCTGGGATTAATGCCTGTGGCTGTCAGAGACTTGTCTAATGGGATTTGCTGTTTCACCACAGCTGGAAGGCCGGAGTTTGTCTACTCCTGCCTTTGGGCTTTCTGGACAACTTTGGGACATGGAGGTATAATTAATAAATTGCCTTCACTTCCCCTAGTTCCACTATCTCCATTAAAGGGACAGTCCACCTGATTTGGGTAAGCTAGGGCCTCTTATTTCATCAACACCATTAGTTCTGATATTTTTTTTTTCTTCCTGTGAATGGTTGCCCAGAGTCTCGATGAAATGAGTCTCCTCAGTGTTCCTGATGTGTAGGCAAACACTGGCTCAGTGATCTCATTGCTAGGGCTCAGATGTATGAAGCTGTTGGGTGATACACCTGAAAGTTCCATTTTGGGTAGAATGTCTTTTTAACCTGGAACTGCCATTTAATCGTTGGTTTTGGATGCATTGTACCTGAAATCAGGCATCTTATGGAGGTTTACGTCAGACACAAGGAATCACAGGTGTCTCTTTTTTATAATTTTCATAGAATAAAATTTAATCACTGTTAACATTTAAAAACAATAGGGGAACCACAGACAAAACATTTATGTTCGTTTTGTAAAGACGGAAGACTAGTAAACGGTTAGAACCTATGCCATGTCTTTATTGCTGTCCCTGGTAAAGAGATTTGTCTTTTGTTCCTGTCCCCGTTGTTACCAGGACAGGAAAAGAGTTTAAAGCTCTCCACAGGGACACAGAGAAAAATGAAAGATCAGAGGGGTTCCAACCTTCCCCTACTCCTCAACCGAATTTTCACTTCAAATGTGATTTTATAAACTCACCTGACATTGAGCCCAAATGTATTTTTTTTTTCCTTTTTTTTTGTGATGGATCTGTAATACCTGTTCTGTATATATAATTTGTGAAAGAAAAGAGCGTTGAAGAGTTTGTACTATCTTGGAGATGTCTCCATATTGTTAGAACTGTAAACTGGGTACCTTTATAAGGAAAAATTCAGGCATTACATGACAATTCAGACGTACACATATACAATATAAATGTTCTATTTTGCTAATATGAATAGAGGGAGAAAAACAGATCTTATGTAAATGTAAGTAGAAATATTTTTATAATAGATGAAATGTTTACGCTTGTACAAAATTTAACTTTAGCCAGTACATTTTTTTTTGTTAATTTTCTTGATATCTGTGAACTTTTATGACAAAATTCTAATGTCAAAGTGTCTTTTTATTTGTTGAATGTTTATAAAAATAAAAAAAAATCATCTGTGTTGCATGTACTTGATTTTGACTAACTGTTTTCATGAATTTCGGGTACAATAGAAAAGTCTGTTTCATGTCATTCATTGATTCTTGTCTCATGTACCCAGTGTGAATTGAAAAACTGTACTTTGTAGGTGTATTTTCAATAAAAAAAATATAGATTGTATTAAGGTCTGATTTATCTTTAGTAAATACTAGGGGTGCACAGATACCGGTGGTTTTTTTCGGTCATCGCCAGCGTCGGGTGGTGGATCTGGGGTTGCCACCTTTTTTTTTCATGGAGAATGAGTCGTGGCTTATTCATATGTAAATAGTGCCACCCATTCATATGTAAATATCACAGTAGAGATTATTTTCAGTGGGGGGCCAGCAGCCCCTATCTTAATTTTGGTTGCCCCTGTCTGCCTGACATCATG